TGCTTACAAGACAATGTCCAAGCTCTAGGAAGAACAGGGGAAAAACCCTCTTCGTCAGGAGGATACTTTGGTGGGTGTTGTCATTCTTCAAGTGCAACAATTTGTGCCCATTTCAAGGGGATAAAAGTACTGGCTCCGTAGAATGGATGTAGATTTGTGTAACCTCAAGGCAAGACAAGCAGTCTACATGAACTTCGTCGAGTTAAAAGTAATCAAAACAAGAGTTTTGAAAAGCAAGGCAGTGCCTCTGAGTAAGGACTTGGAACTTGCACAACTAGCAGAGTCTATTGCATACTGCCGCTAGCAAAAAGAACACCCTTCTTGTGTTTCTTTAGGGCCAAGACACATAAGCCGGGTGTTTTATTCAGGACAATCGTGAGTGATTGAGGAATCTGGCAAAACGTGATTAGTCAGTTTTAATGAAGCGGCTAGACTTGGTTGTGATGAGAGACTCATTTTGAACTGAGAATTTCCCATGCATCGCCCACATTCTTCAAGGAATCCTTCGATGGGTACTTGTTCTTGGTTGATGTTGAGGACCTATTTTAGTCTGTCCTGCACGGTGAATTGCTTTTCTACATAAGTTGCACAGACGAGAGTGGATTGGTTGCCTTTAGGAATGCCGCGGGCATGGAAGTATAAGCTTTTAGGCCCTTCTCAAGCTTTATGTTAAAGTAAACTTCATTAACAATTTTATATTCAAAGACGAGGCATTCTCGTAGGCTCGTATGTTGCTCCTGTGTTGTGCAATTTTTTATGTTTGATCGTAATCAATTTTATCACGTTCCACCAACATTTTAATTAGTGGGAGGTTTAAGAAGTTCTTACGTATGATGATAATTTTTTCATTATTTTAAAGCAACTAAGCACCGTCACATATTAGCCCATTGTTAACAATGTTCTAGCAGGCTTTCGCAGACTGCGAAAAAAATTCCGCCATATCCACGAAGTGAATGATGATGAGCGGGCGAAGCCCCGGAGGTAAACCTGGTAAACCATGAATCCTCTGTACATTTTGCCCACTCGATTTTATTACATCGCTCCCCCTAGCGTACGTCGCCGCACTAAATCGAACGATTGCCTTCAACCAATGACACGCGCCATATGTGACATCATTCCTATTTTATAAGATCTCGCGTCTTTCATCAACTACAAGTACCGCTTTCTAGTTTATAACATCTTGCATCTTTTCATCATCAGCTACAAGTACCACCATCTAGTAAACACTACAAGAACTAAACGAGAGGTGGCTACATACAGGAGACGGTACCGCCATCTAGTGAACACTGCAAGAACTAAACTAGAGGTGGCTACATACAGGGGACGGTATCGCCATCTAGTGAACACTGCAAAAACTAAACTAGAGGTGGCTACATACAGGCTACAGGGGACGCACAGCCCACGCCCTAAGGAGCTTCGCCCCTAAAAGGATTGGTGTTCACACATGAGTTGAAGGTTTGTGGCTTTTTGCAGTTTTTGGCTTAGCGCATTACCTTGCAGAGTGGTCACCGCTGTTGGCCTTTTTGTCTAGGCGTGCTTGATTTGAAGGATTTAACGTCCCAAAACCACCATTTGATTGCGAGAGACGCCGTAGTGGACGGCTCCGAAAATTTCGACCACCTGGGGTTCATTAACGGGCACCCAAATCTGAGCACACGGGCCTACGACATTTCTGCCTCCATCGGAAATGCAGCCGCCGCAGCCGGGATTTGAACCCTCGACCTGCGGGTGAGCAGCCGAGTACTTTAGCCACTAGACCATCGAGGTGGGGCGTCTAGGCGTGCTGAAAAATTGCTTCCATACGAGTTGACGCATTCCAAAACTTTGAAAAGGGCCATAGCTGAACAATGTCCAGAGTATGCATGTGCAGGGTCGTGCTCACACGTTATGCAGAAGACTTTTCAATGCATGCTCCTTAACGCTGTAGCTGAGTTGCTCCACCAGACTGTCAAGCGAGAACACCACGGTACTGGGGTAGATCAAGAGTGCAAAACAGCGAGACCTGAGGTTGTACCGTGTATGCACCAAGCTGCACACGACCTAAAGGTGGTTGCAAACAGAGATGACATGCCGATTCTTTTTTCTGCGCCACGAAAATCATCTATACTTTCTCATGTATGCTATCTGATGGAAGCAACAAAGGTGGGTATGGTAAGAGGCACGCCAATCACACACAAAATGTGTCAACATGGTTGTTTATGAATTTACACTACCCTACGACAAAAGATTAATGTTGGCCGGCCAAGAATATGCGTGAACGAGCATGCACAGAAACATGAGCTTTCGTTAAAAGATGAAGATGGGGCACATTTGCTGACGCATTGCGATTCTCATAAGTGTGAGCCGTGCCTGGATAAGGTTTGAATTATTGGCAGAAGCAGGGACACAACTACTCGAGAATGCATGGATGCATTCTGTATAAAATCAGGAGGTTCATTAGGTATCCGTGATACTTTGTCTTTCTGGTAGGTAGAGTACAAGTTCACAGATTAGTTAGTATGCTCTCAATGTGAGTCTAGCTTACTCCACACATGTGTGCCTATAATTTTCGATGCAGGATATGATGAATAAACTGTCGAAACTTTGAGCTCCACTAGGCCTCTTTTCTCATTATTTTGTCACTAAAATCAGCCATATCTTTGTGGCTTCTACAAGAACATGGATCGATTATAATAGCAAAGAGTACTTCTTGCCTGACCTTTGTGACTTAAAAATTAGTAGGGGCAAATTTGACATAGAAGAGGGACACCATGCCTGGGTGATACAGACCATGGAAACATGAGGCTATGACAAGTTACCGATATGCAATGACAAGGAGAATGAATGTAGTGATTGTGCGAGCATTCTAAGCTAGAAAAAGGCTAGAAGTGATTGATTGATTTGTGGGGTTCAACGTTCCAAAACCACAATATGATTATGAGAGACGCCATAGTGGAGGGCTCCGGAAATTTCGACCACCTGGGGTTCTTTAACGTGCGCCCAAATCTGGGCACACGGGCCTACAAAATTTCCGCCTCCATCGGAAATACAGCCGGCGCAGCCGGGAATCGAACCCGCGACCTGCGGGTCAGCAGCCGAGTATTTTAGCCATTAAACCACCGCGGCGGTGCCCTAGGAGTGACCAGTGCCTTCTGTCACATAAGCCACGAAATAAAAAAAGCAACCACCGTCCCTTCTGCCACCATCTGGAACGTAAGAGCACTACCAAAGGCTGCATCCATTGTTCTTCTGCACAGTGGTATGGCATGCAGCTCCATAAAAGTAAAGCGAGGGCACATAAATGCTTCAATGTGGTAGTGTCAGAACGCATGCTCAAATCTGTTACAACAAAATTATAAAAAAAAACTACCGGCCTTTTCAGCTAGTCGTTTCAAAAAACTTTACATTGGTCTGAAGACAACGTTACATTGTACAGATTTTTGCTGGTGAATGGAAATTCATCGTTAAATTAGAAACTTCGTAAGATAGTTTTGCTGGATTGAGGTTTATTAGTATTTATTCGTAAAAATTACACATTGGGGAGCCATGAAATTTTTGTAAACGGGGGTGGGTGCTGGAGACGACGTTTTGACAAGTGGACTTTTCTTTTACAAGGCTCAACAAAATTTTCAGAATTTTCGTTCAGTACAAGAACCATATTACTTTATCATTGTGCCTATCTCAAAAAAAGGAGTTATTTATAATATAGAGGAGCCGAGAAATGTAACTTGATGTTATTTAATATTGCCCACACGCACCAACGAAGACCAAAAGCTTGTATCGTGCACTGACTACTATGCGGGGACAAATGTGCTAATCTGATAGTTAAGTAAACATCACATCCTTTTTGATAGAAAAATAACATACAGAAAAACTAGTAATAAGACCCAAGAAGACATTGTATTTCCTAAAAAGTGAAAAGTCCTTCAATTTTCCATGCGATACTTGATTTAGCAAGACCAAACACATACATGTGCTTGAACGTATTGTAACACAGGGCAGGACTACACGGACACTAGAGAAGGGAGAAATCGCTCTCAGTGTGCTTACATAGTCGTGCACTGTGTTAAAATATGGTAAAGTACTGTCACCAACTGGTCCAGCTTTCAGTCCTTCTGTGTAAATGTGCTTATTTGCGGACGTCCCATTATTAGAGACCTAGCTACCCAGTACGATGCACATTTTCTGCATAATTTTGATAGGATAGCTTTTTATATGTAGTAAACTGTTTTTCTTGCATGCTCGTCTACTGACGCTACCAGCATCCAAGAAGCTAGAGACCACAAAAGCGCACAGAATGGGTTTGATCATTCGCACGTGTGATCATACCGGTGTCACGCGGGTACTTTTGATTGCAATCAGCTAGGGCGTCTGCGCCAAACTCGATCCGGTGCAGCAGTGACAGACCTGTCGATTTCAATCTAAAATATTCGACTGACACCAGTATTAGTCACTGCTAACTGCACAAACTAATCAGACCAAATACGGTGCAGCCGTCATCTAACTGCGATATGAAATGGTACGACACAGCAAACAAAAACCCGTGTGACAGTGGTGTTGTCAATACAGTGTGTCATTCCTAAACCTCACTCGTAAGTATGTCTGCACAAACATGATCATGCCTACGCGGGAGCAATTCAACGCTACGGCTCGCATGAACCAGCCAACACTAAAGTATCATCGAATGTGCAGGGAACTAAATTTGTCAAACAAACCACCGCACATCAAATCCCGGCTGGCGCGGCTGCATTTCCGATGGTGGCGGAAATGTTGTAGACTCGTGTACTCAGATTTGGGTGCACGTTAAAGAACCCCAGGTGGTCAAAAATTCTAGAGCCCTCCACTACAGCGTCTCTCATAATCAAATAGTGGTTTTGGGACGTTAAACCCCACAAATCAATCAATCAAACTACCGCACAGCACACACAAGACAGCCAGCACTTGAGCATATCACATCGACGCGGGATGTTGGTCATTCAACGCTACCGCTTGCACGAAACACCCACGGCGCTTGATCTTACTTTTGAAAGATCCTTCGGCCGAGAATCACTGTGCCACATCTCCAGACTCACAAGGAACAATACCGCAATCCATACACACCACCGCATAACAAAATTAACGTTGACCAAACTAGAGGAAGCGCTGACAGTCGACGTCGGCGCACCGCTAAAAGCGCTTAGGGATGTTCGAGCGATTTGGGTGCCTAGACAGCGCGCGGTCACCAGAAAAGCACCTAGGGCGCGGCCACTCGTATTAGTTCGCGCCATGACTCACCGTGGCGCTGCAGTCACCGGCGTCAAGTTCGGTTCAGACTGTCACGGTGGACGGACGTGTTTTTTGAGCGCTCCCAGTCAACTGCACAGATAAGTTGTTTTGCATGTTTTGAGCTTGTCTTTATAATTATAAGGCAGCAATTCAAATTCCTGTAGCACCTGTTTTATTGTACGGCTTTATCGGAGGCCAGTCAGCAGGTATTTATTAGTTTGTGTGTGTGTGTGTGTATTTGATTTTTTGTTTTTTTGTTGTTTTTTTCATTTGCCACCCCGCGCGGGAGGTGCACATGCATTGAACACGCAAATTTTTGTAGGAGAGCTTAGACTTTCTCTTTTTCGTGGGGCACGGCTCGAGTTTTGTAATTATCAAGTGAGACAAGTCATAGGGACAATTTGTGTCGAAAAGACATGGTTAAAAAGACTGTAAGGTGTTCAGGATGTGGGGTGGCTTTGAAAGTGGACCCAAGTGTAGAAGCGGAAGAACAAGAGGTTGACGCGAAGTGTAGGCAATGTGAGGTCGAGGAAAAAATGGAGAAAATGATGGTTGCCCAGAGTGACCTGCTCATGAGAACCACTGAACTCGAGATTGCGTTAGCGACAGAGCAAGAAAAAACGAGGGCTGTGGGAGAATGGTTGAAGTCCACCGAGGAAGCACTAGCCAAGAGGAACAGAGGAGCGGCCTACGGAGAGAACAGTAGAGAACCCGCAACCAGAATGGCGGAGAAGAAAGAGCAAGCAAGTTTGAAAAAAAGAACAGGTTCAGCCGGTTCAATTGTCGCAAGGCCCAGCTTCAGCGAAGTAGTGGTGGGGCTGGGAGGGGACAAAGCAGCTGGCGTCACAGGTGCAAGTAACCCCCAGGTGTAGGACGCTCCAGCTGAAAAGTCACAACACGTGATTATCGCCGGGGACTCGAATTTAAATTGATGCACAGAAGACATCGAAGAGAGGGTGAGAGGTGACAAGAGGGTTGCAGTAGGGGCGTTCCCAGGACGAAAGCTGGAAGCAGTCATGAGGCAAGCGAGCGTAAAACTCAAAACTGCAGCTGATAGACGAAACCTCGTGATAATTTGAGGTGGTTTAAACAATGTCTTAAATTAGGATACGGCAGGGCTAGCAACCACACTGGCGAAAGGCGTCGATGGCATGCGCGCCACTTCTCCTCAGGTACAGGTAGTGATAAGCACGATACCGGAGGTACCGGTGCGTGATAGCAACCTGCAAAGAGCGGTTGTCAACGCAAACGAAGAGATATGGCAGATGAGTCGAGAAAAAGGCTTTGAGGTGGTAGAAATAAACAGAGAGGTGCATAGGTGGGGTGGTTTTCAACGAGACAGAATTCACTTCGATGGGCGGCAAGGTCATGAGGTGGGTTGGCGACTTGCAGGACGCTCAGTAGCTTTTTTGGGGGGCAAGCGGGCCTTTCGGGGCGCAGGATATCTAGTAACGAGGAAAACAACCAGGGAGACTCTTTGACAGGTGGTATGGACAGATACGATTCCAAAGTCGCACCAGTATCCAAGATAGGTAGAGTCCGGGGCAGAAATAGACGTAGCCATGAGCACCGAACCAATTCAGACATAGGGTATATTAACATGCAGGTTGGTAGGAACAGGCTGAAGTGGGAAGTGATAGAAGAAGAGTTAAGGGAGGAGAGCGGGCTGGTATATGGTTTTGTAGAAACACATCTCAGGGACATGAAACAACCTCCTAACGATGCAGACTACACGTGGGAATATTGTAATAGAACAGAAGGCAGCAGATAGAGGGGTGGTATTGGGGCATTCATTCATAAAAGTACAGACTGGCAAAGGGTCAAGCAGGAGTGCAAAGGACAATTATGGCTGAAAGGGAAAGTGGCAGGGCAAATGACACTCCTTGGTATCGTGTACTTGTGGACGGGAGCAAAGGCCAGAGAGGAAAACCAGGCAATGGTAGAGTGTATACCAAATGATATTCAGGAGTTAGGAGGAGAGTGCGAGATAATTATACTAGGAGATATTCATGCGCACATAGATTTAGATGGGTATACCGACCCGACAGGCAAAGTGATCATGGATATGTGTGAAAGGCTTGATTTGATCATTTGCAACAGTACCGAGAAGTGTGAAGGGCAAATAACATCGGAGTTACGAAGGCTGAAGTCGACGATAGATTACGCACTGATGTCACATAGGATGTATGATAAGCTCAGGGGAATGCACACAGATGAAGGTGGCTCCAGAAGTCTGGGTAGTGATCACAAACGTATCAAGCTAAGTTTTGGAAGAGCAGTGAGAGTGGGAAGCAGACAAGATAAGCAACTACAGAAACATTTTTATTCAGAAAGGCAAATTGAAATAGCCTTTAAACAAATTGAGAAAGTAATCACTGAGGATAATAAAACAGTGTAAACATACACGAATCTAATTAGACTGTTTGAGCTATAGCTTGCTAAGGCACGTGACAAGTCACCCCGGAAAAGAAGACAAAAACCCAAAAGTTGGTGGGATGAGGAAGTTAAGAGAGCCATAGCAAAACGTCAGGAAGCCTCTAGGGAACACAGCCATGCTAAGCAGCGGGGTGAACCGACAGATGATGTTGAAAGAAAATGGGCAACCTTTCTAAGCTGTAGAAGGAATGCATCCCTTCTGATCAATGAAAAGATGAGAAGGAAGAGAGCTCAGTGGCTGGCAGAAGTACATAAAAAAGATAAAAAGGCAGCTGCGAAATTTTGGAACCATCTAAACTCGCTAAGAAATGAGACGAGCCTAGAGCAGAGGTTTATAACTACAGCTCAAGGTGCTAGGCTAGAAGGGGATGAAGCTATTGATTATATAAGAACAAGGGTGACAGAAAAATTGCAACAAAGAAGTGCTTTATGCACAACAATAGACAAGGATGAATCAAGTGGCACAAGGGCTCCATTTCCAAGACGAGAGTGGGAAAGGGCTGAGAAAAGGGTTCCTAGTAGTACATAAACAGGCCCAGATGGCATTCCAATTTTGCTGATAAAGACATTAGATCCGAAGTCTAAACAGACTTTGAGAGAGGCAGTGAGCAGAACAATAAGCGATGGTGAAGTCCCCGATGGATGGAAACTTAGCAGGATGAGCATGATCTATAAAGGAAAGGGGGACAAAGCTGACATAAACAACTACCGTCCTATAAGTGTGACATCAGTGGACTACAGGCTGGCGATGCAGATTATAAAGGAAAGACTGCAGGCATGTATAGAGGATGAGAGGGTGTGGGGAACTGCAGAATGGGTTTCGGAAACACAGGAGGCTGGAAGACAATCTGTTCTCACTGACGCAGTGCATTGAAATAGCAGAAAAGGAACAGAGGCCCATGTGGCTAGCATTTTTGGATATGAAGGGAGCATACGATACCGTGCTTCAAGAGGAATTGTGGGAAATACTGGACACACTAGGCGTGGAAGATGTAGTCACTAATCTTTTAAAGGATATCGCTTAAGGTAACAAGGTAGTTATAAAGTGGGAAAAACAGGTACCCAAGCCTGCAGAGGTAAACCGGGGGCTTAGGCGGTGGTGTCCCCTGTCACCCTTATTTTTCATGATGTACCTGCAAAAATTAGAGGCCAAATTAGACGGAAGTGGACTGGGCTTCGACCTCTCTTTCGTCAAACAAGGGAGACTCATTGAACAGGCACTACCAGCGTTGATGTACGCAGATAATATAGTGCTAATGGCCGACAACAAGGAAGATTTGCAGAGATTGGTGGACATCTGCGGTAATGAAGGAGATAAGTTAGATTTCATATTCAGTAAGAAAAAATCAGCAGTCATGATTTTTAATGACAATGAAAGTAGTGAGCTTAGAATACAGGAGGTCACACTAGAGATAAGAGATAAATACAAATATCTGGGCGTATGGATAAGCAATGGGGCCGAGTACCTAAGGGAACACGAAACATACGTGACGACTAATTGTAACAGGAATGCAGTGGTAATGAAAGACAGGGCACTGTGGAATTACAATAGGTATGATGGTGTGAGAGGAATACGGAAAGGGGTCATGGTTCCTGGTCGGACGTTCGGCAATGCAGTCTTGTGCATGAGATCAGAAGTTTAAGCAAGATTAGAAATTAAGCGACGTGGAATAGGTAGGCTTGCCTTAGGAGCTCACGGGAATACACCAAATCAAGGAGTACAAGGTGATATGGGATGGACATCATTTGAGAGCAGGGAAGCTAGCAGCAAGATAAAATTTGAGAAGCGATTGAGAGAAATGGGGGGGGGGGGAGCGTTGGGCAAGGAAGGTTTTCAGTTACTTGTACATAAAGAATGTCGACACAAAATGGAGGAGGCGAACCAGAAAATTGACTGGTTAATAGTTAGAAAACAGCAGGGGGCCAAACCAAAAAGAATTATCGGTTAAGAAGAAGGTGAAGGAAGCTGAGACCAAGAGCTGAGACCAACATGTGGAGAATTGACATGATTAAGAAGCCCGCACTAGAGATCTATTGAACTTTTAAGCAGGAAATTGCCAAAGAAAGATTCTATGATAATACTCCAGGTAGGTCTCTACTGTTTGAGGCCAGTACGGGAGTATTACGAACCAAAACATATCGGGCCAAATTTGAAGGGGTAGACACGGTATGCAGTGCGAGTGGAGAGGAAGAAGAAACTACCGAACACTTGATAATGTTCTGTAAAGGGCTTCACCCTATAGTTCAGGATGATGGCGCAGAGTTTTTCAAAACACTGGGGTTTAGGGACAGGGAGGGCAAATTAGACTTTAAGCGGGTAGAATTAACTAGAAAGACGTTATCTGATTGGTCGCTAAAGTCAAGGCACGAGTGAAAATAAAAGCCTTCACTGCAAAGTACGAGTCCTCAACCTCACTATTTAAAGAAAAAAATAAACAAATATAGTTTTTGGTTCACTAATTATTACGGCTTGGTGGTCTTAGCCACCGCCCGATCTAAAGGGTACAGCCATATCAATCCATCCGATCCATTCATTCATCCAGCCATCTAAACGTGTTCCATTTCTCGGACAGCATGGACTTGGTGCTGTCTTCTAAGCTGTTTTCGCAGATTGTTTACGTGCTGTCTAAGAATTGGAGCACAGCCCATAATTCCCAGTGGCGAGCGTCTCTTGTCGTACAGAATTCGTACCTGGGAAGAGGTTTCCTGAGGATTTTTTAATTTAAGTATTTTTGGTGGTGGCACTGTTCGTTGCAGTGGAACTTTTTTGAACACCGCCCCAGAACGACTACACGCAAGCGTCTATGGCTGTGTTCCAATTTTAAGGCAGCACGCAGACAGTCTATGGAGACTGCTTAACAGACAGGACCGAGACTATGCTGTCCGAGAATAGGTGGATGGCAGATAGCAAAACGGCGCGTCGTGTGCTACGGTACTTCCGGTCTGAAGCCTATCCATTCACTGCTTCAAGGTCCTGCTTCGCGGTTTAATCGGTGAGGAAACAGGTGTGTTTCTGTGACGCTTTTGCTGCCGCTTGTTCAATGATTGTGTTGTTTAATACTTCTTGTTATTGAATAGAATATATTTCGCGCATTTCATGGAACGAAGCCAGACGTGGACATGGCCAAAAAAACGAACGCTGAGAGATGGGTTTCGAGCACAGCGTGCAGTTATGCTTTGTAACCCGCTGTAATCATTCGCAGAGTCACCTCGATTTAGTATTTTCGAGCGCATACACATACATACCGAGGCCACTTCGAAGTCACTGGCACATAAATGCACATGCTCTCGAATGTCAATATACGTACAATGTCAACATATGGACACGTACTTTGCACGATCAAGTTTGCCGATATAGCATACTTTTATTGCATAATCTGTATCGCTAACTGTCTGTCAAATTTATGGAATTGCCGATAGCTTGGGTTATACTCCGACTCATAGCCTTAAAGGCTATGATCCACAACTGTACGCAAAGTGCGGAGAATTTTGCATGCATTAAAAAGATGTTTGAGTCTGTGAGGGACGACACCATATGTAAAGGAATATTGAGAGGCGTAAAGCAACAAAAAAAAAGCCAGAGAACTACGAGCACGTTTCATTTATAACGTTCCAAACACAATATACTACGGCCATTCGTTATATAGAGCTCGGAATGATATCTTTGCAACCCAAAAGTAAATGAACCATTTTACGTGTACGCGAGCAGCATGGAAACAAGTGACAAGATATTTCGCGATCCTATGATGTGCAGAAAATATTTGTATGTGAGAAAACATGCGCAATAATTACCTTTGCTGCAAAACAACAAGCATATGTGCCAAGGTGCAAGCCGCTTCAATGAAAAAATGACCGCTCGCACCATTACAACTACCTCGTAGTGATTGAATTTGTTATTCCATCATGCTACAAATCACTCCAAAGTATTAAGCAGAATTTTGTAAGAAGAGGGTACCACAAATGCAAGGTGGAATATGCAAAAAGTGCCGGCACTGGCAAGAATGCCCACACGGCATCACGGCGTCTCGAACCGGAAGTCGGTGCAGACGGACGCCGTAGCCCACAATCCATTGCGTGAGCCGAGATTTTGCTATCCGCCTATTGGAACACATCTGGACGGCTTTTACGTGACGATGCGCCACCTCGCATCGAGAAGTGAAAGCCAAAATAATTGATTGATATGTAGGGTTTAACGTCCCAAAATAAGCATATGATTATGAGAGACGCCGTAGTGGAAGGCTTCGGAAATTTTGACCACCTGGGGTTCTTTAACGTGCACCCAAATCTGAGCACATCTCTAGTCGATAGACCAATGTAGGTAAGGGAAGTCGGCAAAACGGATCCGTAACCTTGGGAAAAGGATTGGCTCTGAGGGCTGAGCCGGTCGGGCTGGGGTCCAGAAGCAGGAACGGCACTGCACCGGGACTGGGCGAGGCTCACCGCCGTAAAAAGCGGTGCGGCCGAGCCCGGCCCAGCGTCGGGACGTTCCTGTGGAAAGCCACAGCTGTGCATTTTCCGTGGGCTTCGCGCCCGAGGTTCTTGCTTCGGCCGGCAGAAAACAGCCAACTCAGAACTGGCACGGACCGGGGGAATCCGACTGTCTAATTAAAACAAAGCATTGCGAGGGCCGTTGATCGGTGCTGACGCAATGTGATTTCTGCTCAGTGCTCTGAATGTCAAAGTGAAGAAATTCTAAAAATGCCTAGGCGAACGCATAGGGACCGCGTAATGCTGTTGAAGCTAAAGTAACTTTGAGTTGCGTCGCGTCCTGAGTTCTTATGTGTATAAATTAGAGAGTGCAATAACATACTATGCATCCTCGTTATTCATTTCTTTAGTGGTTTCATGCTAACTGGCTGTTGCTGTGTCAAGTGCATTGTAATAAAATAACAATACACCATTGGTATTTATATGTTTATTTGTTGTTTGAGAATAAATATGCGCTCAGATGTAACAGCTAAACACAATAGATTTGCAGGAAAAACGATGTGTATATCGAGGCAGCAACAAAACATGGGCAGCGAAGGTATGCAGGCCCGCTCACTGCTTTGTAGAGTGTTTGAACAGCGCTGTGCTGATATGCAGGATGGAGCAGAAGTTGGCGGAAGCCAAAACGACTAACCGTACATTGAATTTTCTAACCCAAATAAGTCTTGTCATTGTTAAGGAGGTGCAAACTTGCAAATTTTGGCATTAGTGCGCAATGCACTACATATCTGAAACAAAATGTAGCTACTAAAGCAAGCAGCTCAGGGGCGTAAGGTGAAGTGCGCACCTATTTCCCGCAATGATTTCTACAATGCGGGTCCTGCAGTTGAACAATACTGATTGTTGTCTTAGTTGGTACTTGCTTACTGACATGCTTTGGCCGCAAATAACACACACTCAAAGTAAATAAACACTCAACGACAAGCACAAGCGGCACAACCTGCAGTTGAGATTGCACGACCATCTACTTTAGCGGCCGCCCAGCTGATGCGAAAATACGTCATCAGAACCTTAATTTCGCAAAAGAGGCCCTTATATGCTTTACACAAAAGTGCGTGGGTTGATCTTTATAAAACAGTACTACTTGGAACAAGACCCCCACTGACGCTGTCTAGTTGCAGTACTTGCCCATAATTTTTGTGAGACATCGTGAAGTATGCAGCATCAAGAGGAATATTCACGTCAGCAAATAAATAAAACGTACTGTACCTGCCCACCACTCCAAATAAAGTCTGTCCGCAAATGAACATGGCTGAACATTATAGCGCATGGTAGCTTGGAAAAACATAATTCTCACGTACGTCCACTCTAGTGTTTCCTGTCTTCATCGCGCTTTCGTCTTCGTTCACGGCCGCTAACATAAGCAGCCAGCCACATGGCACAGCTGCTACAGCCGCTGCGTGGTTCGCGATGGGTTCGCGCGTCTCCGTCGCCTAGACAACCTAGACAACCTTTGCGTATGCGCAGAATGACCACAGCCGGGAACAGTGACGTGTACCACGTGACTTTTTCAACACGCTCCAGAAATACTCTCCCCTGCGTGAGAATTGGAATGGGACTTAAGATGGCCGCCGTCTATTTAGCTGTCTATTTAGCCGTCTATGATGATTATTGGAACACACCCTATTTATTGTACAGAATCTTACCCAGGAAAAGTTTTTTGGGGACTTTTCCACCTGTAGATTTTCGATGGTGGCGCCGTTACGTCGCAGCGGAGATTTTGAAACGCCGCTACGCCGGCCGGTGAGGTGTTCTCTTGCCTGATTCTCATGCTAGTGCTCATGTCCTTCTTGTCTTTTTGTCGTCGTTCTGTTCTCACGCTATAACTATCGTCATGTCATACCAACTAGCCCAAAACTGCCACACCTCGTGCTAGCGCCTTGCTCGAGTGAGTTTGATCGTTTGGCCGTGACTTAATTGGCTCTGCGAGTTGTACAGCTTTCGTTTGGCTAACGCGGTACATGAATCGGTGCTCCGTAGCGATTTCGCCAACATCGTGGAGACTGCACTTGCTCGATCGGCAGACGTCGCAGGCTAAGTGCGCTGCCTTGCCACAACAGGTAAGCAGTGGTCTATATTATTTCTAGTTGTACTCCGCCCTGTTGGCCGCTATCCTGTATGTAATGATCAGAAATACCTGTCCACATCAGATAGCGCGATAATGTAGGACTATGCTGCCAGCATTCAAGAACACTTTCCCAGACGCTTCCCATGTAGTGCTGAATTTTAGGCACCTGTAATAGCTTCTTGAAAAGTTGTGTAACTTGCACTGAGTCATCCTCTCATTAGGCTGATATGCTGGAATGGCAAAATTAAATTGTGCTTCGCGTTGCCCATGTGGGATTGAGGGAACAACACTGGTGTATTTGTACTGACCCCAAATGCGTGCTTCTTCGCAGTGCATGTACGCGGCGATGAAGCCGAACGTGTAAATGCCAGTGCTTTTACTGTGTGCTTCTTCGCAATACTTGTGTATGACGGTGAAGCACACTTTGTGATGCCAGTTTGGTCAATTTGTGTTTGTTTTTACCGCGTTCTTCTCCGCAGCGCACGTACATGGCACTGAAGCCGAACTTGATCACGCATTGCATCATTGTTTTATTTGCAGGCATAGAGATGAGGGCTCCAAGTTCAAATCAGCACGCATTTTCCTTTACGTTTATCCAGCAACTTATTTTTTTTATTTATTTGGACATACTTTTGATGTACTTGCCACCAAAATCCTAAGCTTTCATATTTACACGTGTTTATATGAAAAAGAACGATGATAGGAATGTTTTGTAGATTCCAGCTAGTGAGTCAGGCGGTTTTTCGGGACGACAACGAAGCAGGTATCTTGCTGTACAGCTGATTCTGAATACGCTCTTTTCGCTGCCGTAAGCTGCTGCCATCTTTTGTTCGCGTTGCACTGCGACACTGGTGGAGGAGCTGGGCCGCGACGCTGCGATGCTTCACACTCCTAGTGGGAGCCGTTCATCCAGCCCGGACGTGTCTACTGCAACCCCTGTCCATCGATTCAGTCGTCGGCTACGAGGTATTCCTCCAGACTGCAACCCCTCGCAGAAAACCTCTACCAGACATCTAGAAATGGCTAACACCAGCTCCAGCCTGTACTTCTCGGCACCAGTCCTCCCGCTTCATCCCAGGTAACGTTTTTTCAATCGCTGGAGCCTAAACGCTTTGGTGGTGGCGCACATGAAGACGTAGAAGACTGGTTAGATCACTATGACCGAGTTGCGAAGATCAACCAGTGGTCTGCTCAGGAAAAGCTCGGCCGGGCCTACTTCTATCTTGATGACAGCGCTCGTACTTGGTACGAAAACAGAGAAGGCGACCTGTCCACATGGACCGACTTTCACCAGAAGATGGTTGAAACTTTTGCCAATGTCGACAGACGTGACCGCGCCCACCAACTACTAGAGCTAAGGGTCCTCAAACCCAATGAAACGGTCGCCATGTTCGCCGAAGACATGACACGTTTATTTCGGAGGGCTGACCCACAGATGACCGAAGATAGGAAGTTGCGCTACCTCATGCGTGGCGTGAAAGAGCAGCTGTTCGCCGGACTTCTGCGCAACCCGCCAAGCACTGGATAGAACTTCATCAAAGAAGCATCGGCTATCGAGCGGGCCCTTCACCAACGCTGCCGACAATATGACCGCTTGTGCAGCAGCCCCTAAATTCAGGCCGCCGCTGTGACGTTTGACAGTCATAGCTCCTTACGTGACATGATTAGAGAGATTGTTCGTGAAGAACTGCAAAGGCTGCGGACTCCGGTAGTGGATACACCCATGGCATCTGTCGCTCAAGTCGTCCTTGACGAAATACGCCAAGCATTCTCGACAGCTGGTCCTGCCCCCGAACAACGTCCCATGACGTACGCCGCCGCCCTTCGAAGCTCCCCACCCACTCCACCTTCATACTACCCGCCCCCTGCAACTATTCTTTGGTCACCACCACAGGGGGAGACATCGTGGCGCCCACCCATTCAGCCCCCCTACGACCAGTCGTCTTCTGGCCTGCCATGGCCTTCGTCGCGTGAGGAGTTATCACGGCAACCACAGCTTCGCCGAACAGACACCTGGCGCACTGTCGACAGGCGTCCATTCTGTTTCAACTGCGGAGGTGTAGGCCATATAGCCCGCTATTGCTGGCACCGCGCCGATCCGTCTCGCCCTCTCAGGCCACGGTTTGACAGTCGACTTGCCAACCACTACGTATCCCGCCGTGGCGATGTCGGTTCTCAAGGACCTCCGGTACCTCGACCCCCATTCGACGGCCGCCGTAACAATGATGACAAGATTATAACTGATTACGAGCCGGTCTTCCGACATCGACCACGCTCTCGTTCTCCTGCCCAGTCACCTTGGTTGCAGCGCCGCACTTTTGCCGACACCAGAGAAGCGAGGTCACCCAGCCCACACCGGGGAAACTGAAGGCGGCAACCTCAGGGGGTAAGGTTGCAGGCTGTCAAGACGAAGAAAAAAAGCCCCCATTACTCCCACCTCAGGACGCTGTAAAGCCGACAAGACGCAATACCGACGAAACTGTGACCCCAGGCCTTACCGTTCTTGTGGATGGACAGCAAGTCAAAGCTTTAGTCGACACCGGGGCTGACTTCTCTATTATCAGTGATGACCTTATGACCTTGCCGTACGCCTAAAGAAAGTAAAGACAGCGTGGACGGGACCTCACTTGAGGACGGCAGGCGGCCAATTACTGATGCCTGTCGGAATGTTCACAGCAAGGCTCGACATTGGTGGCTCTACTTTCGTGGCGACGTTCGTCGTTCTCGCTTTATGCTGTAAAGACCTGATTATCGGAATGCATTTCTTGAGAGAACATGGCACCGTCATCAACGTCCCTGACAGTGTCATTACGTTTCGCAACAACAGCCTTACTTTAGTCGATTGTTCAGAGCCGAGACATACGTCTTGTTCAGGGCCTTTGCGTCTGACGGATGACGATGTGGTCGTCTCGCCACGATCGTGTACGCTTGTTTCAGTGGCAGGGGATGAGCCGTTTGATGGCGACGGTATTGCTGACCAAATAAGCTCGCTGATATTTAGCCACGGTATTTCAGTTGCTCGAGGTCTAGTCACTGTCAACTTCAGTACTGAGCGCCGACATCTCCTGAAGGGTACAGCCGTCGCTTACTTTGACAATACCGCAGAAATCCAAGGCAGTTTATCGGTTCTAGACGAAGCACCTCAAGAAGAATCAGTACCTAATCTTCACGTTGGTACTACGTTGTCAAGGGATGAACGAACGAGACTTCTTGAGCTGCTAGCTGAATTCCAGGACTGCTTTTCATCGACATAACGGGTCGGTCGAACGCCGCTAACAAAGCATTGTATAATTACCCACGACGCAGCAAGGCCTATACACCAGAATCCTTATCGTGTGGCTCCAAAGGAACGGGAAGTGATACAGCAACAATTTGCTAAAATGCTTGAAGATGATGTGATTCAGCCATCACAGAGCCCGTGGGCATCGCCTGTAGTACTAGTTAAGAAAAAGGACGGTACGCTGTGTTTTTGCGTGGATTATAGGAAGCTGAATCAAGTGAGTAAGAAAGATGTGTATCCGCTTCCACGTATTGATTACTCCCTTGATAGGCTTCGAAACGCTCGCTACTTTTCTTCAATGGACCTCAGAAGTGGATATTGGCAGATCGAGGTAGACCCAAGAGATCGGGAAAAAACCGCTTTTGTGACGCCGGATGGTTTATATGAATTTAAAGTTCTACCCTTCGGTCTGTGCTCAGCGCCCGCTACTTTTCAAAGGCTCATGGACACTGTACTTTCAGGGTTTAAATGGAAGACCTGTTTAGTTTATCTAGACGACGCCATAGTGTTTTCCCCAACTTTTGATGAGCATCTCAAAAGGCTAGAAGTTGTTTTACGAGCCATACGCTCCGCAGGCCTCACATTGAAACCAGAGAAATGCCACTTGTTTTGAAGAACTGCTGTTTCTTGGTCCTGTCGTCAGCTGCACCGGCGTTCGGCCTGATCCCGAAAAACTTGCGGCCGTGGCACGGTTCCCAGTGCCGTCCGATAAGAAAGCTGTCAGGCGCTTTCTGAGCCTATGCGCCTACTATCGCCGGTTCATCGCCAACTTCACACGGATTGCGTCGCCGTTAACTCGCCTCACTAGAGACGACGCCACCTTTGAGTGAAACCACGAACAGCAAGCAGCGTTTAATGACCTCCGCCAACGTCTTCAAACACCTCCAGTGCTTGCTCACTTTGATGAGCAAGCGCCAACAATGCTTCACACTGACGCAAGCAATGTAGGCCTCGGAGCTGTGCTTGTGCAGTGGCAAGAAGACACGGAACGAGTGGTCGCCTACGCAAGCAGGACGCTAACACGAGCTGAGGCCAGTTATTCAACAACTGAGAAACAATGCCTCACCATGGTCTGGGCAGTTATGAAATTTCGCCCGTATTTGTATGTCCGCCCTTTCAAAGGTATAAGTGACCATCATTCACTCTGTTGGTTGACTAATTTAAGAGATCCAACCGGCCGATTAGCGCGGTGGAGTCTGAAGTTGCAAGAGTTTGATATGATGGTCATACACAAGTCTGGGAAGCACCATACGGACGCCGACTGCCTGTCTCGATCACCAGTACAGTCAGCTTCTCTTTCTGACGACGACAATATGGCCTTCCTTGGTGTTCTCGACGCATCCACGACTGCCCAACAACAACGAGGTGACCCTGAATCGCTTGATTTGATTAATTACGTGGACGGACGTTTTTCGAGGGCACCTAGAGCCTTTGCAAGGACATTATCGTCGTTTTGCTTACGCAATGGCGTCCTATACAAAAGAAACTTTTCATCCATTGGAGCTCCCTATTTGCTCGTTATTTCTGCACCCCTTCGAACTGAAGTGCTCCAAGCATGTCACTACGAGCCGACGTCTGGCCGTTTAGGCTACACTCGCACATTGGCAAGAATACAGCAGGGATACTACTGGCCACGACTCACAACAGCCGTCAAGCACCACATTCACACCTGCCTTGATCGCCAGCGACGCAAGTCACCTCCAAAGGGACCCGCCGGTCAGCTGCAACCTGTTCAGGTTCTACGTACACCGTTTGACCAGATAGGAATGGATATTTCGGGACCCCTTCCTACTTCTACTGCAGGGAATCGCCGGGCTATAGTCGCAACAGACTACCTAACCAGGTATGCCGAAACAAAAGCTATCCAAAAGAGCACCGCAGCAGAATTGGCGAAATTTTTCATAGAAAATATTGTGCTACGCCACGGTGCCCCGACTATCGTGATAACAGACCGCGGAACAGCATTTACGGCAGCTCTTTTAGACCACGTCCTGATGCTTAGTGGAACGACTCACCGTAAGACCACTGCATACCACACGCGAATGAATGGACTAACGGAGCGCCTCAACAAGACGACTGAAGACATGCTGTCGATGTATGTGGATGTCCAACATTAGAATTGGTACAAAATTTTACCCTACATCACGTTCGCACACAATACGGCTAAACAAGAAACGACTCGCATGACTCCATTCAGCTTGGTTCACGGACGGGAGGTACGGACTATGCTGGATGCGATGTTGCCACATGAATGTGACGCTACCAACACAGCCGCTGACGTGTTCACTGAACGCGCGGAAGAAGCTAGGCAGCTCGCCCGCTTACGGATCCACCAGCGACAAGACTACGACGCAGGCCGCTACAATGCTTGCCATAGAACTGTAACGTACAAAATCGGTGACAGAATGTGGGTTTGGACACCCGTACGAAAACGTGGACTGTCCGAGAAGCTTCTAAGGCGATATTTCGGGCCATACCGAGTATCGCGCCAGCTAAGTGACGTCACCTACGAGGTCGTCTCCGACAGTCCCCAATGCCCGAGGCGTCGCCAGCACCAGCCTGAACTTGTTCATGTAGTGCGTATGAAGCCGTATGTGAGTGACTGACTGCACGTTAAAAAATACTGTGGGTCTGAATCAGCATCGGGACGATGCTCTTATAAGGAGGGGCAAGTGACACGTGTTTATATGAAAAAGAACGATGATAGGAATGTTTTGTAGATTCCAGCTAGTGGGTCAGGTGGTTTTTCGGGACGACAAAGAAGCAGGTGTCTTGCTGTACAGCTACTTTGTCGATTTCGAATTTTGACCGTACAAGCATTTTTAAAATTTTATAGCTTACCGGCAAGAAGATCTCAATATGCTTTTATCGCAAACCCAGACGCCTTCTTTCTTGCTCATTGGCCACGGTTTCACACACCTCAGATAATGTTTATACAAAAAAATCTACAAAGTATAAATGTGAACATTAGAAATGTAATTGAGACTAATGACTCGAATTGTTATGTTATTATTGAGTATGATGATATATTCCCCCAAAACGCCAAATTACAATCCCCCAAATTTTTAAATAACATATTATTAGATTACTTGGAGCATGCAGAAACTAAAAATATAATAGCCACAGATGCTTCCGTAAATAATCAAAAGGCAGGTGTAGGCATTGCCTCTGATTTGCTTGACTGGTCCTTTTCAGTGAGACTGCCTGATTTTACTCCAGTTTTTGAAGCGGAGCTCTTGGCGATTATTTTAGCTCTTCGAAAACTTCCATCAAATCAAAACAACGCAGTCATAATGACGGATTCTCTTTCAGTTTGTGCAGCTCTGACAGCTTCAGAGAACTCTCGAATTTTAAGCACATTCAAAACATTAGTACCCCCGCAGTTGAGACTCCTGAGATTACTATGGGTTCCGGGACACTGTGGATTAAGATTAAATGAATTGGCCGATTCCTTAGCACGAGCCGCACTTGATGGGCCAGTTTTGTCCATACTGCCAGATGTTGAATATATCACGGCAATAAGATATCGAAAATCAGCAATCTCCACTGATACGATAGAAAAAGTAACTACATGGACAGACTGTAACCACCTCATGTTTCCATGGCAACCCCACTGGAGTCAGTCCAGAAAGCTCGAAGTCTTAATTACTAAATTTCGATGTCGTGTCCCCCCCTAAACCTGTATCTACACAGAGCTGGTCAGACAACATCACCCCTCTGCGCATTCTGCAGAGAAATTGAATCACTAGATCATTATTTTTTGTATTGTCGCCGCTACGAGATACTTAGAAAAAGGTATAGTTATGCCATTTCGGAAAATAGGCCTTAGATTGACGGCGGAAACGGCGCTAAGCTTTGGCGCCTCAGCTTTGGGACATTGCCACAGAAATGCTTTCAATGCCGTTTGCGATTATATTCAGGCAACCAAGCGTATACCTTTATGATCTTCAATAAAAAAAATTATTTATTACTCCCCAGGGCAGAGTGAAGTAAACGCAGCTGAGTGGTAATCATAACACCTCAAATCTCAAAATTGCTCAACTTGATTTTTTTTTCGTTTGCTCTTTTTATGTTGTTTTTATTTTTACAATAGTCTTATTATAATACCAATTCATTACACATAGTTAAAATGATCACAGAAAAACTGCACTACACTTTCTTGGCCAATCCCCCTGAGTGGGTATGAGCCAACCTCCCAGGGAAACAAAACAAAAACAAAACAAAGCTTTACAGCTGATCCTGAATACGCTCTTTTCGCTGGCGTAAGCTGCTGTCATCTTTTGTTCGAGTTGCACTGCGACAATATTATGGAAGAACATGTCATCACTTGGTGCCTTCTACACAGGGCTGTACCAGGGAATGAACATGTCGGCTGTTTCTTATGCTAATACGCACTGGGCGACAGAAGGGCCATGGAATGAATTTGTAAGCAACTATTCATTCGAGCTGACATCCCCGAAGCCCAGAGACGGATCTTGCAAAGCATAGCACTGAAGAACACTTCAGCTGTTTAAGAGTTCACTCTATTCTTACTACCGCCGAACGTATGCAAGCTTGTTCAGATAACATTGTGGCATCTCCTCCTGGTCCACTTACGCCGAAGCTTGCAAGAGACACTAACAAGCTTTTGCTTCGCAAGTTTTGTTTACTTTCACCTTCCATCCGATTTTTCCATATAGTTTACTCGGTATACCGAATGAAGTAATCTGCTGTAATAAATTAATAACACATTATCTTAATCAATTTTACAAAACTGCAACCAAGAATAAAATGGGAGAGCTACTGCATTATAGCCTTTCATTATAAAAGCGGCGAGTTGGGCTTGTCAATACATTATTTTGGTACACTACAGTGCAATAAAGACACAATAGATAGAACACAAATGACGAGCGCTGATTGGGAGAACAATCCTGGCAGGTTGTACAATGGCTAGCAAGGAAGCCTTCAAAATCTTTTCTGTCATGCGCATTCTTCACATTATTTGCATGCTCTGTTAGCCTATTGTTTGTGCAACGCTCAGTTTGGCCATCGTACACTTTACCTCACTTTGAAGGAATTTCGTAAACTACCCCTTCTGCACAGTCAGCAAAAAGTGTCCTGTGCTTTGAGCCACAGACCTGTTTCATCTTTGCCCCCGGGTTGGTCAATCAAAGAGCTCAGAAAACCTGTTTGGTACTGAAAATACGATCTTCACGTCTTACCACTGGGCCACTTTTTTCAAGTTGGGCAACAGCTTGTGCATATAAAGTATTAACGCTACCTTCTGCCAGCGCGTTGCCAAGACTTCACCATTTCGCTGGTGGAGGGGCACTTTCTTGAAGCAGGCTGTCTGCAAATGAAATGAGGAGTGGCTCAATATGCCCAGAACCTGACAGACGTTTAGCTTGACGCTCGAACACTTCAGAAGTACAGTGTGGGCAATATTTGCCCAGAGCACTCTTGAGGCACAACGTGGCAATACCTCGTTTAACGAGCTTATAATGGGCGGACTTGAAAGGTAGCAGTGGTTTGTTAGTGCATGGTTCATAGCACCAGCAGACGCTAACACCTGTAAAACGAAACCAGATTTCTAAAAATCTAATTTGGTAATTTACCGAGAAATCATGGGTTAGGCTAAATGGGCTCATCACTTCGAAAAAACAAATCAAGTAGCACTTTGCTTTGTAATTCTAAGTCGTACGAATATCAATTTAAAACAATTAGATAATTGTCAACATATCAGAATGTGCTAAAAACACTTTTATTGGTGAGTGAGCCGTTGATATGTCCATTGAAATAAGAGAGAACTAGGTCTCTAAGAACCGAGCAATGCAGGAACGAATGCAGACGCCTTGCTTCTGCAGGTGTGAGATCCCTTCAAACATTATGTATGTAAACGGCTAATAAAAGCCTAAAGGTTCTAAAAAAACACCACCAAATATCCCCGCAGAGTTTTGGAAAGCAACGGAACTGTGTTTGTCAATAGAATGCTCAACACACTCAAGAAAAAAAAGACGTTTGATATCAATCGATAAATCCTGACAGCACTGGTCAGTGAAAGTGTCAAAGACGTCGAAAGCCAGGTTAGATTTAGTCTCAATTAAAGGGTCATCTATCACTAAAAGCTTGAGATTACACTGATTAAGATTCTTTGACAATGGTCCGAAAACATACGTAGAACTTGCACTCAAAAAGAAATTTGAAAAATTGTTCTTGCTCTTATCGATCACCTTAACCTGTTGAGAAATGTTAAGCTTGTCACAGTTTTTTTTTTTGCATAAGACTTTTGTTTACTCAATAAAATATCGGAGAGAGAATCGACCACAGAAGTCGCCTCTCTCGACTTTGGTTTCAAAATATTTTTGCTCAGTAGAACCGTGAACCACCCCTATTATCGACAAGGAGAATGTGGATTAAGTGGTCGCATAATAAAGGAGTCGCTCATCTAATGGGTGGGCTGTGTTTTAAGTTCTTGCAGCTGTTAAGGAGGTGATCAGCTTCTGAAATACAACATGTGCTCTAATTGGCAGGGGCTTCATGCGAAACCTTACGTACAAAATGAAGCTGTGCTGGCCTCGACTCCCTGAATGTCACAGCAAGCTTTAGTCCAAGAGAAAGAACACAGGTTAGACCGGCTGGCAAAGTTACTTCACCGATGATGTGCACATTTCATTGTGACTCTTACGTGCGTGGGGTACGCCAGGTCTTCAGTCCTCTTAGGGTGGTATAAATATATGTGCTATTTCTCAATAAACATTGTTGAAAGTTCAGAGCTTGTCCTCCTAATTTGTATTCCGTCCAATGTGTCTTTCTGCACTGTATTGCACCATAACTTTAATTGTTGTTTCACAAGTATATTCACAGACCAGGACCATCGCCAAAGTGTTTGAGTATCACCATTAATGTTATGAAGTGTACATAAGCGTGTTTTTTGGGTGAATAAGTCATAAAACAAACACCTTTAACTCTCGTACTCTCTTCCATCTGTAGAGAGCGTATGAGAGTTAAACGTGACTTCAACATCTGCAAAAAGTTTCCAATGTCTTGCCAGCTGAGCGTAACAAAAAAAGTTTTGCACCATCTTTTACTTTTTAATTATTGGTCTGTATTTACTAGTCAGTTTTTTAGAAAAAAGAGTGGGCTCATTATCACTTTTCGCCTGGGTGATATAGTTGACAACTAACGGAAATTTATAGTAATGCCATGAATGAACATATGCGATAAAGTTTGTGTGCCCCTGTGTGGTGAGATTTTTTTTACAAGATAAGATGAAGGAGTGAGTAGAAAGAACTCTGGGCAAAATTTCATAGCTTAAGGAAGCT